TATTTAATTACTTTAATTATATAATTTAATGTAATTTGAATTATACAATATATTTATGTACAAATATAATACATTTTTGTACAATATAATGCTATATAATAGAAAAACTAATATTTCTTCTTACATCTACTCAATATAAAGAATTCTTTAGAAATTAACCTTATCTTCTCATATACTCTATATACGTATACAACCACATCATGATTTTTAATTTTCTAGGATATCATGACATTATTGGCATGGATGCCATGTTTTTAGGGTAATCTGGTCGCAGTTGGCTTTGCTTAGATAAGGTATGTATATCCCCAGTTGTTAAGGGTCAGGTTGGAGGAATCTTATGTCTTTCTTATTATGTACTACCTTTTCATCATTATTTGATTTGAGTAATTATAATCTTACTCTTGTCTCCAAAATCTCTCTTTTCGACTGTGTAATAGACAAGACTGTAAAAACGTGCCATTCATTTTATTTAAAGTGAGAAAGAGAAATTCTTGATGACTTTTACTATTTCCAAACATGAAATTCAACTGTGAATCGATGAAAAAACACTACTTAAATAAATTATAAAATATGTCTTGATCAGACGATTGTTATAAGAACGTGGTGCATTTTTGTATAAAGATCTATAAATAATTGTTCTGAAAAAACATCAAGAACTATAGTCGAAATATTTGTATAAAGATCTATAAATAATTGTTCTGAAAAAACATAAAGAACTATAGTTGAAATATTAGTTTGTTGATTGAAATTAAAAAAAAAATAAAGGAAAAGAGACAAAAAAGAGTGCATGACAGGAAAACTCTTGCTTTTGATTATTTTTCCTCTAATCATTGCTCTTAATTATTCTGTTCAACCTACTTTAAAAGTTTATAAAAATATCAGAAAAGAAATTTAAAAATTTAGAATTAATCAATGAAATGTTGGTTTGATAATTAAATTATAATCTAGAATTTAGGATTAACCTCCCCTTTCAATTGACCCTTTTTTTTTTTTTGGAGTTCAATAATATAAAGCAACATTTCTTGGATCTTAATACTCATTTCCTCTGTATGACATATAATTTAAGCGCATGAATAATTTCACCAAAAGAAAAGAATTGCTAAGCCACTCAATTCATCAACACCTTTATGATTAACCCTTTATTTTAGTGGAGTAGTTCCTTAATTCCATATGAGATATTGCATAAACTTACAAGTTTGATATTTTTCTTTTAAAAGAAGTATTTTTATATGCTAAAATATATACCAATTTAGACGTGGGAAATTCAATTTTTTTTTTTAATAAGTTGTCAAAGAACGGGCTCGAAGCCCGTCCATGGAGGAGGAAAAATACATCTTAAATTGGTAGGTGTCAGTTAACTCAAAAGTACAGGTGCAATTTTTTTTTTTTTTAAATGATGAAACACGGATATTTTCTATTATTTGCAGTCTCGAGATATATACTATTGGTGGTATTATTTTTCATCACAAACACGCCAGCTATGTCCTTCATTGAAAGAGTCAAGAATTCAATAATAATGTCATGGAAATCGACCTCCAAAAAAATTACTAACCCACAAAAAAGGCAAAAAGCTTCTTAAGCCTTCAAACTTATCTCAAAATATCATTTAAATCCTTAAACTAAAACTGAAATAGATAAACCCCCAACTTTACTAATGTTGCAAATAAACCCTTTTCATCCATGCATGTTCAAGCTTTCAAGGTAATATTAAACATGAAATACCATTTAACTCATTTGTGAGAATGGCTTATTTGCATCATTAGTAGAGTTAAAGGGCTTATCTGCTTTACTTTTAGTTTGAGGGTTTAAATATTCTTTTTGAATTAGTTTTGGGGGTTTAGGAGGGTTTTTGCCCACAAAAAATATGAAAATCGTATAGCCGAACAAGTGGCCGATTATGAGCCAGGCGATATTTTTCATGGACCGACACCGTCCAAATCAGTAGATAAAGAAGTTGGTAGGGAAGGAAAGCATAAAAGAAATATTTTTGAAATTTTTTTCAGAACCCAACCTGGACCTGGATAATATCTCGACAATGTTGTCTGTGACTGGGAAAGCCACATAAGCAGTGTTTTTGAGATATACAAGACCTTTTCCCCAAACGTGTTGAAATTAATAACAAAAATTCCTAGTCCATCTGAAATTATTTGTCTTCGTTATAAATAACTTATATACATTTTAAAATTTTTATTTATATAATAATTTTTCAAAAAAATACATATGAATTTAAACTTTTAAAATTAATTAAAATTTTTACCTTAAATAATATCATATTATTTGATTAAAATTAATCTAAAATTTAAAAATTTATTATATTAAATATTAATATTTAAATTTAAAAATTAATTATATTAAAATATATAATCAACTTTCAAATTTAAATATTAATATTTAATATAATAAATTTTAAAAGTTTTAATCGTCATCCGACTAAGATTCACACCAAAGGAAAAATCAAATATGAAGACAGCAGAGAGAAAATATTAGGTTGAATTTCAAACTCATCACAACTAAGAAAAGTTTGGTTGTTTTTTTTTTTTTTTTTTATCAAGGACAATTTTTGGGAGGATAGGAGATTGAACCCAATCCATAGGACTGAATGATATACAATGTTACTAATCGGCCTATAAAATTAGGTGTGTGTAGTTTGGTTGTTGGGTGGTATTGGAATTTCTTGAAAGGAAAACTCCTAATTGGGAATTAAATGTTCATTTTTTCTGCCCAATGTACACCTTGTTTTCTCCCTAATTAACCTATCGATTGGAATTATTCATGGCTATTTGATATTGTTGGGACCATGAGCATCCTTTTTCTCCACCTGTTACATGAAGAACTTGAATTTTTAAATTAAATTTTTATCTCTTATTAGTTCAGATTTTTTGTAAAAAAAAAAAAAAATTGATGGGGTTCTTATAATTAATTTCGAACAAATAACTGAACTTTAATGAATTTGAAATCATTCTTCTTCTTCTTATATGGTTATATATAATATAAAGAAAAAACAGAAGACAGAATGCTGTTTAATATCTTCCCTTTTTCTAGTAAGTTCTTATCTTCCATGTGCTTCTTTCATGGAACAAAATCTTAGTGCCATATCTATGTCGGATATCATAATATCTTTACTTTCCATATTGGAAAGAGAAGAAAAGAAGGAATAACTACAACTTTTCATTGCAAGAATTAAAAAAATAAAGGTACCAAACAATCTAAATGGAGTAAGAAGTTCTAATTTTAAGCAGCAATTATGTGAATAAAATAAGTATAAAAATATAAGAGGATTATTTTTTATTATATAATTTAAAATAAATAAATAATATAATAATATAATAAACAAATAAAATCAAGTGCTCCGAGGAAGATGTTTTTAGGATCACAGTTATTTGTGGGGCTCAAGGCTGAAGAGGGAGGTGGCCGTAGGATTAGCTTTCCTTTTTTTTGTTTTCCTAATGCCTTACTATTTAAATATTATATTATATTTAATTAATTTAAAATTAAATCATATTAAATTTTATAATTTTTTATTATTTATTTTAATTAAAAATAATTAAATTTTTTTATTTAAATAAACAAATCATTAATGATGTAGAACTAGTGACCTTTCGCAAGACTCAAAATACATCTATTGGACCCCAAATCTCTTAAAAAATTAACTGTAGAGTTCTGATAGAACCAGTACATTAATACTGTGGTTGCATCCCTTCACCAATTGAGACTCAAGACCAATCCCAAGTCTCTAAAAAAGTTAAACTTACGTACATGATTCTATATATAGCATACAGATTTATTCATTAATTGATGTCGGCTGTATATTTTTTTTCTCGAAACATGAAAAAATAATGAGAGAAGGAGAAAATTTTTAAATTCTTGACCAGAGTTGAATTTTCATTCATTAAATTTAAACATTAAAATTTAAGAGTAAATAATTAAATTTTAAAAATTAATTTAATAATTTATTTCAATCTAATGATATTAAAT